CCAAGGTTGAGAAACACTGGTCCAGGACAACCTAGGTAGGGCAAAGATCCAGCCAAGAGGTTACAGACCTGACTTTACAAAAGACCTTGTCCACTTCCTCAAAATCCACAAGCTCAAAAACCACTCAGGTAAAACTGCAAGCTTTGAATGTGCTGGGTGAACCCAGTCCTTACATTTAATTATGTCATTAAAATGAAGGGATAATTTGAAATGCTGCTTCTGTTAAAGCACTTTGTGACAAATTGCTTTTAACAACCACTACTTCAAATGTAATTTAAATTGTTCATATTTTTCTCAAATGCTATTTACTCTAGAATACCTTTAAATATTTGATTAACAGGTCACTCTATTTTAACCATGCATAGCGCACCTTTGCTTTGTATGTATATACTGATCCACTTCCAATTGCATTTGTCATCATAGTATTCCAGGGGAATAGGTATTTATAGGGATAACTAATATAATTAATGACTAGGCATCTGATCTCCAACCAAATGGAATCTGAGAAAGAAAAAAGGAGTAAATGGAGCTTTCCCATCTCTTACAACAGAGGAGGATTCCAGCTCCCATAAACCTTAGCCAGAATGGCTAATGATCAAATCTGATGGAAGGTGTATTCCACAAATACCATTCATGCACTCCTATAACACGGTAATGTTGCACTTTCAAGCATTCAGAGTACTCCATGTTCATTTGCTCAGTAATTTTTACAATAACCCTGTAAATAGGTCAAGATTATTATTCCTGCATTATGGGAGGAGAGGGCAAGTTAGACTATAAATAGTAGATTATTCATGGTTGGTGAGTTTATGACAGATGGAAGTTGAATTAGGGCTTTCTGATTTATAGGATGAGCTTTTCATCCCGTATCAATCATTCTGGTGTATTAAAACCAAATGATTTAACATTTTTTAGGAACAAAAGGAATATTTTCCACTATTAATCCCTGAATTCATACCACAGAGCATTCTGGTGAAATTCTACTTAAATAATGCTATGCTTACCTGATTTAATTCTGCATTAAAAAAACAACAACACTGCTGTATCACAAAATGAATATATTTTTATTAGAATAAATAGTGCAAGCACACAGCTGTAGTCCAGGACTGTAGCTTCTAAAAAGCATATGCCTTGCAATGGATAAAGTCCCAAACATAATGCCTGACCTCCTCACGAGGCTGGAAAAGACATCTGAAATTCTGGAGAGCTGCTAACAACCTATACAGACAATGCTGAGTTAATTAGATGGATGACTTGTTTTGTTGTAAAGCTGCATTCTGTTTTCCACTCACTGATGGGACTGTTGGTGGAGATCCCATATATCTGTCTTTGAATTCTTCCAAACAACCAGATTTTCCATCTCTCCTCCTTTTTCAATCCCATTCCAAATGAACCTGAGATTGATCTGGGCAGTCCTGATTGATTTGTACATTTATTCAGGCAATCAAAATGCTATTAGCACAGCAACGCTTTTATGTTTGCGAGTCTGGAGCTTGCAGGAAATGGTCAACCAATCAGGGTTTGCCCTTTAGGGCCAATAGCTGTGCCCAGAGAACAGCCAGCCAATCAGCGCTCACGAGCTATCCTTTTCAGCCTGACAATAACTGAGCGACTTCGTCTGCCCCTCTTAGATTTCCCTAGCTCTGTGCCTAATTACAAATAGTCCCTTGTCCTCTTCCCAAGCGGAAAAGAAAATACATTGCTAGCTTTCCCCCAGCCCATAATTCATGTGCATGTATGGCTGAACATTTCTCCCTTCTTCTTTTGCAATACAATCTCAAAGGCAATTGGAGGAGAAGCTGTGCAACGGGAAGGGGACAGTTGCAAACATAAATGCATGGCTTAATCCCTTCAAAGCCTTCCCACTGGTACGGCTGCAAATTCCTCTCAATTTCCAAATGTTGGCATCCTGGCAATTTTCCTAACAATTCCAGCAAAACCCTCGGAGTTGGGAGATGAACTGAGCCAAGAGTCCCTTCAAAAGGGGAGCCAGACAGCCCTCAATGATACATTTCCATTCTGAAGCAACATTCACTAAGGCAATATTTCTCAACCTCGGCAACTTTAAGATGAGTGGACTTGGA